ACATTCATTAGCTTTAGATTTGCAAAGTAATAATAGAAGACGGTAGTTCGATTCATCAGTCTTTGTGGTTCAATATCTTTTAAACTACACGACAAAACTGTGCACTTGCAGTCCGAATCATTGGATACCTAAGTATAACCACGATCAAGGATCCATCAGAAGTTTCTTCCACAGCCTGCAAAACCTTAGAGTCAGATTTTCTGTTAGATTTTAAAGCTAATGGCTTACCTTGCTTTTGAGGCTCATCTTCTTCTAGCTATATCTCGTGACTTCTGAGGGAGCTAACAAGTTCCTCCAGAGAAATTTTGTTGAGATCTTTGGCTAGCTTAAGTGATGTGACCATTGGCCTCCATTGTTTGGGCAGGCTTCTGATGATCTTCTTAACATGATCAGCATTGGAGTATCCTTTGTCAAGAACTTGTAGTCCAGCAACAAGAATTTGGAATCTTGAAAACATAGTTTCTATTGATTCATTATCTTCCATCTTGAATGCCTCATACTTCTGAATGAGCGCAAGGGCCTTGGTTTCTTTGACTTGAATGTTGCCTTCATGCGTCATTCTCAGAGAGTCAAACATATTCTTGGAAGTTTCTCTGTTTGATATTTTCTCATATTATGAATATGAGATGGCGCTGAGAAGTATTATTCTGGCCTTGTGGTGGTTTCTAAATTCACGCTTTTGCTGATCAGACATCATTTTTCTGTCTATCTTCTGACTACGTCCATCCACTGGGTGCGTGTATCCATCAGTCACCATGTCCCACAGATCAGCATCATGAGCCAGAAAGAAACTCTCAATTATGTCTTTCCAGTAGTCAAAGTTTTCTCCATCAAAGACTGGAGGTTTGCCACTGAATCTGTCCTTGTATTCATGGTTGTCATTGCTGATGTTTTAGCTTGGTCCCACCATAGTGTTTTTCTGATGCTTGGATCTTGTACTGACACAGTTAAGTTTTTAAGCTCAGAACCAAGCGCTCTGATGCCAATTGAAGATGTGAAAAACACAAGAAGGGGGGGTTAAATTGGAAACTTGAATCTAAAAGCTTAATGACACAGTATTTTTATTCTGGTTCGTTTGATCTCAAACTACTCCAGTCCACCCGTCAAGGTGATTTCGCCTCTGTCCAACGAGGTCTTAATCCACTAATCTCAACAAGATTACAAAAGCTACTTTAACAACTGTTAAAGTCTTCTTGAGTACAACCCCAATCCGGTTAATCTCAAGGAACTCTTTTTCAATATACTTAAACAATATGTGTTGTTGTTTTTCTAACAAAAACGGTTTATCACAACTGTGATAAATTACACAGATTTATAGCTTAGAAAAGTAAAATGAAATTGCTTGCAGCTGAATATGCGTGAGTGGTTATCTTAGAAAAATCATTGTTCATGCATTCTTTTCTCATTTTTGAACGCTCACTTGTTTATATAGGAAGTGGAATGACGTTGATCATAAATCATGTTTAATGTCATGAACACACTTTCCTTTTAGAGAAGGTCCTGTCTGAAAGAAGCCGTTGGAATTGATGTTGTCTTGAATGATCAGTAACGCTTCAGAATCATATCTTCTTACTGCTGATGACGCTTCAGAATATTGATGGCTTGGTTTGATATGTTCTTGTTTAGAGTCAGAGTTTACTTTGATTAAGCGCAGGCTCTGGTCATCAGTCTTCAGCGTATGTTCTGATTGCTTCAGCGTGTAGTACTTATGGCTTATCTTCTGATGCTGATATGATCAGAACTTCTGCATACATAAAACATGATTTTTAAGGAGCATATTTATTCTTTGTATTATATAATTTATTCTTTGTATTTGTTATCATCAAAACTCTAACCAAGGGTTGTAGATCAAACTATGTTCTAACATTTACTGCTCCCTATACTCCTTAACACAATAGTCTTGCTGAAAAAAGAAACCGTACTTTGCTTGATATAGTGAGAAGTATGCTGAAAGAGAAGAAGCTTCATCATACTTTGTAGGGAGAAGCTGTCGCCACTACATGTTATATGCTCAACAGATATCCAACAAAGAAGCTGAAGGAAATAGTTCCTATTCAAAAGTGGACTGGAGATAAGCAAAGTGTTAGTCATCTGAAGGTGTTTGGTTCTGTATGTTACAAACATGTTCCAAAAGACAGGAGTTGGATGATAGAAGTAAAGTAATGTTACTGGTGGGGTACCATAGTACAGGTTTGTACAAACTTTATTGTCCAGAAACTAACAAAGTTGTGTTCAACAGAGACGTCATTGTAAAAAAAATCAGAAGTATAGAATTGGGAAAGGTCTCATCCTGACTCTGATGAGAGAACTCCTGAAGAAAAGTCAGAAACACGTGTTTCTGAAGCTGGTAAAGACTTTGACTCTGAAGAAGATTCAGAAGGTGAAGATGATTCTGACTCTGATTCCGATGGTGATTCAGACTCTGGGTATTTTCCAGACTCTAAAGATAATCAAGGTTCTGGAGAAAGTTCAATTTTTGAAGCAAGAGCTTCTGAAGGGGAAAGTTTTGGTGTCTGAGGTTTTGAAGTTCAAATTCAGAGGCAACAAAGAGTCGAAAGCATCCCAAGAAGATTTGTAGAGTTTAACATGTTACAAGACACTGAAGTAGACTCCGAAGGAGAAGTTATTCAATGTGCTATGTTAGTAGACTCTGAACCCGTGAGTACAGAAGAGGATCTTAAGCACCAGGTCTCGTTGCAGGCCATGAAAGAAGAACTTGATGCTATAGAGAGAAACAAGACTTGGAAGCTGACAGAACTTCCAAAAGGCAAGAAAGCCATCATTGTCAGATGGATTTTCAAGCAGAAGCTAAAGCCAGATGGATCAATTGGAAAACACAAAGCAATATTAGTAGCAAGAGGCTTTCTACAGAAGTCTGGGTTGGATTACTCTGAAGTGTTTGCACTTGTAGCGAGACATGAAATAATCAGACTAGTGATTGCAATAGCTGCTAATAGGAATTTGCGTTTGATGCATTTAAATGTAAAATATGCATTTCTGAATGGTCCATTACAAGAAGAGGTATACATGTCACAACCTCCTGGATTTGAGAAAAATAATCAGGAAGGGATGATGTTTAAATTGCACAAAGCCTTATATGGATTGAAGCAAGCGCCCAGAGCCTGGAATTTGAAGATTGATTCATTTTTCAAGGGACAAGAGTTTCAAAAGTGTGAGATGGATTATGGTGTTTATGTTCAGCACACTTTAGAAAGTAATATGATTCTGGTATGTTTGTATGTTGATGACATATTGCTCACAGAAAGTTCTGAACAAGAGATAGCTAAGTTCAAGAAGGTTCTGATGAATGAGTTTGAGGTAACTGATCTTGGGAAAATGAGTTTCTTTATAGGGATGGAGTTTATGTACTATGAGAAAGGAATCATTTTGCATTAGATGAAGTATGAACCCGAGATTCTGAAGAGACTTAAGCTAGAGAATTGAAAGTTGTTATCACACCTGTTGATACGAATCAGAAGTTGAACTCTGATTTTGATGGAGAGATGTGGATGCTACGACCTTCAAATAGATGGTTGGTTCTCTGGGGTATTTGTGTAATATCAGACCTGATATTTGCTATGCAGTTGGAATAGTTAACAAATTTATGAGTAAACCCAAAGTGGTCTCATTATCAAGCTGTTGTCAGGATTCTGAGGTATGTGAAGGGAACTCTGAAGTATGGAGTGTTATTTCCTTCTGGAAGAAAGATCGAATCAGAACTTCTGAGTTATTTAAACTCTGATTGGTATGGAGACAGAGTTAATAAAAGAAGTACTTCTGGGTACTTATTCAAATTTCTGGGAGGTCCTATTTCTCGGTGTTCCAAGAAGCAACTTGTTGTTGCGCTGTCAACCTGTGAAGCTGAATATATTGCAGAAGCTCTGACTACATGCCAAGCTGTGTAGATTCTGAACTTGCTGCAAGATCTGAAGATTGAGGTAGACAAACCTCTAAAGTTGATGATTGATAAGTCTGCAATCAATCTTGCCAAGAACCCAGTGTTGTATGGGAGAAGCAAGCATATTGAGACCAAGTATCACTTTTTGAGGAATCGGGTTCAGAGTGGAATGTTAGAAGTTATGCACTGTAGCACCCAGAAGCAGTTGGTAGAGGTTTTGACAAAGGCTATCAAGACTAATCAATTTCTTTGTTTTGAGGGATGAAATTGGTGTTATCAGTTTTGTGTAAATATAAATGAAGGGATGGTGTTGGAATAAATTTATATTTTAGGAATATCTTATTGATTAAGTTTGTTAGAGGGTATTTTAATATTTTATTATACCATAATTTTGTGTATAAATAGCCTAGTAGTAGGTAGGTCAATGTAATTCATTATTCCTTATTTTGTAGCTGTCATTCAATATATTCATTTTGTCTTTCATCTCTTCTTTATGCACCAATATTTTATACCTACAAAATTTACGTCGATCATAAAAAAATAACAAGAAACACATTATATGTGAATTTTTCTGCAGATTTTAAAAAATATGTATTTTATGCATTTTTACCCAATTAAAAAAAAATCATGGTTAAAAACAATCTTTTTCTACCAGTTTTTTTGTTAAAACTACCAGATTTGAGAGAAAATTTAGTAAGATATTGAGTAAAAAAAAGTGAGGTGTATATTTGCTATTATCAATATACGTAGGGTAGGGTGCCAGTTAGATTCCTCCGACAATTGGTTTTACCAGTAGAGAAAATAACAAAACGACCCACATATAGCCCATCTAGCTATCAAGGCTTCTAAGATTATTTGGAAAGGCGATATTCCAAATTAAATTGTAAATTGGACTCAAATGGATAAAATGTATTTGATTTATAAACTATTTATTCAAAGAATCTAAAAAATTAAATTTTGTTAAATTAATATATAATTGAGAATCGCCTAAAAAGTTAAATTTTTGTTTATAATAAATGATTAAGTTTATATATAACTGAAAATCTGGAAATCAACTACATACTTCTTTTTTGTGATTGTGATCTTGTGATTAGAATAAGGCATGAGGCATCAAATTTGTGTTTTGACATCTTTGATAGTGTGTTTTATTGTTCAATATGGGAATTGTGAAAGAGATGATGTTGGTGGTGGTTTCGTTCAAACAAAAGGCATCCATTTTATTCTAAATGGGAACCCACTTTATGTAAACGGATTCAATGCCTATTGGTTAATGACCATGGCATCTGACCCATCTACTAGGTCTAATGTTACTTCAGCTTTTGAACAAGCTTCTAGACATGGTTTAAATTTAGGAAGAACAATGGCTTTCAACGATGGAGATATTAAACCACTTCAAATCTCTCCCGGTTCTTATGACGAGGATGTCTTTAGGGTAATGTTTTTTTATATTGAAGCTACATTATAATTATATTGTTTACATTATTTTCTATTTTACTAATCTATATTTTTGTTTACATTATTTTCTATTTTACAAATCTATATCTTTGATTATTTGCATGTGTACGTAGGGCTTGGATTTTGTGATATCAGAGGCAGGAAAATTTGGAGTGAAACTTATCCTAAGCTTTGTGAATAATTGGAAAGATCTTGGAGGAAAAATTAAATATGTCCAATGGGCAAGAGAACGTGGTGAAAATATCACAAACGAAGATGATTTTTTTACAAACCCTGTAGTTAAGCAATACTACAAAAATCATGTTAAGGTACGTACCATAGTTATTTAATAGAAAAACTCTTGAATTAGTCTTATATATTCATAATTATTCAGTGTCGCTACACTAAGATTGTTTGGATGGATTATTGCAGGCTATTCTAACCAGAAATAACACCATAAATGGGCTTTTATATATGGATGACCCAACTGTTTTCTCATGGGAGCTTATGAATGAACCTCGTTTTCCAAATGATTCTGGAAATTCAATTCAGGTTCTTTTATTTTTATTATTAATATAAAGAAACATTAACTTGAAGTTTGAATTTATTATTATTTTTAATTTATATATTGTAGAATTGGGTTACTGAGATGGCGGCGTATGTGAAATCCATTGATAGCAATCATTTGTTGCATATTGGAAATGAAGGTTTCTATGGTGAAACAGTGCCAGAAAGGAAGCAGCTCAATCCCATTTCTATTAATTTTGGGACTGATTTTATTCAAAACAACCAAATTCCTCAAATCGATTTTGCCACCTTTCATTTATATGATGATAGATGGTAACTCCAATATAAATTCATCACTATTTTATTTTTAAAATTTAATTGATGATTTTATGATTATATATAATTATTAATTATGAATGATATAGGTTAGAAAACACAACAGAAAGAGCAAAAAGTGTATATGTTGACAAATGGATAGAAGGTCATCTTAAGGATGCGGAAACTCTTATAGGAAAGCCAATTATTTTGGCAGAGTTTGGGAAGTCTTCAAGAGAATCACCTGGATATAGCGTAGCTAAAAGGGATAGCTACTTTCAAAAAATATACAATGCTACATATACAAGTGCTATTAGTGGAGGCTCTTGTGCAGGTGCAATGTTCTGGCAACTTCTGTCTCAAGGAATGGATAGTTATGGAGATGGTTATCAAGTTATTTTGGAGAATAGTCCTTCAACTGCACAGATCATCAAACAACAATCTACCAAGATGTCAAATATCAAATTCTAGAGTTGTAGAAAATAATTCTAAGCCTGTTTATTTATTTTTCTTAACCCTAAAAAATTGTCCACGATATAATATATCATTATATTCCTATCAGAAAAAGTAATAATATATGCACGAAGAAAAATATTATTACATCAATAAATATTTCTGTTCCTCGTGAGTTTTGTCTCTGCCTACTAGTTGTATATCTATTTGTGAAATTGAATGAATAGAATAATAAAAGATATTTTATGAAATTAAAGGGAACAATGAATTTGATTTATGTTGAAGAAGATTTTATTGGATACGACTTAATTAAAAGGATTTGCATTAAAGAAAAGAAGAAGATTTGATTGGATTTGTATTTAAGAAATTTTTTATTTGAATATGTTTTCAAAAAATATTTGTTTTAGATTTAATTTATTTAAAATTGTGCTAAAATTGAAGATTCATTCATGAACAGATTTATTTAGATTTGTTTTAATTACAAAATTTGGATTTACATTTAATGAGAAAATTTTCAATTTTCATTAAAGATGATTTAATCTGTGATTTAGTTTTTGTAATAGATTTTTTGAATCTTTTACTTGAGAAGTGAGATTTGTTCATAATTCGTAATTATGTTTTGTTATGATCTGTTTCATGTTTTGTTATATCAAAGATATAAATGTTTAGAATCAAGGATCACAATCTTCGTAATAAAGATTTGATTGATTGTGTGTGTTTTTGGAAGAAGATGTCATCTAAATCAAATATAACAAGAACAATCAAGAGATTTATATTTATTCAAGGAGATCAATCGAGATTGAAAATCATCATTATTGAAGATTGATCTCATGTATTTTTTAGAAGTCCAACCGAATTCATGACCTAAATCCTCATGGGCTTTTGGAGATGGACTTTTATGACTATATAAGGAGTTCATCTCCTTTGCAAAGACTTAGAGCTTGAGAGAAAAATCTACTCTATAGGAGAGTTTTAGTTATGTCTTGTCTTTGAGTTTTTATTGTAATACTTTATTACTAAATACTAATTCTATAAGCTCGAGAATAAAGTATTATGTGTGTTTAGTTGTTCCATCTTTTCAATTATATTGTAATTGTTCAAACACAAGGAGGGTGTTTGAGTGAAAGTGAGAGAGTTCTCAAATTTAAGAGGAGTCTGAACAAATCTTCACAAGTAATATTAGAAAAAGTGGTCTTGAACTGGGATAGTTCAGACTAAGTCCAGTAGTAACCCTTCTGACTATTCAAAGTAGAGTCATTCTATGAAGAATCATAGATAAAAAGACATTGATAGTATTAGAAAGAAAGACATTAAATAAGATTTGTTCATCTAAAACTATTATACTAATATTATTTAGAGTGCATTTCTTTTCTTAGATTGGAAACTCCCAGACATAGATGACATTGCATCGAACTCGATTATTAACTTTTTTGTGTCTTTTAATTCTTTAATTATTTTTTTCTAACTATCTTGCAAATTGTTTTTTTATACAATGTCTTAAACATTGTGTCCAATATCTATTCCTGTCTTAGAAGAGAATTCCACTAACCCACAAAGAGGCCTATACATTCTAGAATCTCTTAACTAACAACTTTAAAAAAACTATTTTAATTAAAAAACTATTTTAATTAAAAAACTATGTTAATTAAATAAACCATTTTTATTTTAAAAACTATTATTGGTATACTATAACTAACTCAATGAACGGTATAAATATATTTAAAACATTATTAAAACTATTTTCACTGTATTACTTATGTATTTAATTTAATATTGAATTAATTCGAAATTTGAATTAAAAAAAATCTTTCTTTATGATTATATTCTACACTCTCTTTCAAAAATTTCAAAAGAATAGCCATCAACAAATTGCTGAATATAATAATAACAATAATAATAATAATAATAATAATAATAATATTAATATTAATATAATATAATAATAATAATAATAATAATAATAATAATAATAATAATAATAATAATAATAATAATAATAATAATAATAATAATAATAATAATAATAATAATAATAATAATAATAATAGTAGTAGTATCTTATTATATTTTATTTTGGATTGAATAAGATAATATTCAACAATTCTCTTCTTTATGTGTAGCATAAATATCTTAATAAACAACATATATGAATTTATGTATATAAAATGTTTTTTAATTTTAATTAAAATTATTATATTATTAATAAATTAATGGTTCTTTTATAATATTACTTATTTTAGTTTTTCTACTAACAACATAAAAAACATTTAATTAAAAAACTATTTAAAATAAAAATTATTTTAATTATAAACTATTTTAATTAAAAAAAACATTTTAATTTTAAAAACTAATCTTAGTATACTATAACTATCTCCAAAAACGGCATAAATATATTTAAAACATTATAAAAATTATTTTCACCGTATTCCTTAGATATTTAATTTAATTTTTAATTAATTAAAAAACTATTTTGATTAAAGAACTATTGTAATTAAAAAATTAATATTTATTGGATGTTTAGTTTAAGTCAAATGCTATTTAGAAGCTTCTGAAAGTTGTTTTAAGAAATTATTTGAAAAGTTGTTATGTGCCTTTGCTAGAACTGGAATTTCCTAAGAGGAAACCGGTTTTCTGAAATATGGAAATCGGTTTCTGCCGCGATTTTCTGTTTTCCAATTTGTTGTTTGTAACCGTTTTTGTGTTTGTTTTGTTTGTTTGTTATATTTTCACACTCATATAAAAACCCTCATGTAATGTGTTTGTGTTAATGTCAATTATAATAATTTTCTCCTCAATTACTCTCTCTAATAATCTCTATTTTTTTTCTCTAAACTTCATCTTCTCCAATTAACCAATTTTCACCATTAATTCACCAACTTCATTTTTGTGTTTATTCTAACATTTGGCATCAAGAGTCTTGGTTCTGATCCATTAACTCGCTGCAAATTATGTCTACCGTTTACAGTGATCGAATCCCTACCAACATCCAATCCTTAATTCCAAGAACTATGACAAATGGTGCAAACAAATGAAAGTTTTGTTTGGGTATCAAGAAGTTATCGATGTCGTTAACAATGGCGTTACACCTCTTGGGGCAGAAGCTACAACTGCATAATAAACTACATTCAAGAAAGAGAAGAAGAAACACTACAAAACACTCTTCTTGATACATTCTTGCATCAACAATGATAACTTTGAAAAGGTTGGAGATTGCACGTCGGCGAAGCAAGCTTGAGAGATCTTGAGGAAAGCTTATGAAGGGGTCAATAAAGCCAAGGTTGTGAGATTACAAACTCATAAGAGGCAGTTCGAATTTGTGCAAATGGAAGAGAAGGAATCAGTAAATGATTACATTACGCGTATAACGTGTTTGGTGAATCTAATGAAGTCTTGCGGTGAAACCGTAACGGTGCAAAATGTGGTAGCAAAGATCTTGCGTTCTTTAATGCCAAGATTTGACAACATAGTGGTTGCAATAGAAGAATCAAAGGATCTTCTCACAATGAGCAGGGAGGAGCTTCAAAGCTTATTAGAGGATCATGAACAAAGGATGGATGAAAGAGGAAGTGACAAGGCCAAAGCGGAGATTACGTTACAAGCACGGTTCAATGAGAAGAACAAGAGATCGAAAGGAAATTTGTCTTCAAAAGGAAAGACAAATTCTCAAAATTTTGGTGGCAAAGAGTCACAAAGTTCAAAGGCTTCGATGGTGCAAAGGGAGAGAGCAGCTCCAAAGGTGGTGGTCAAGGTAACTACACCAAAAAGATTGACAAGAGTGGTGTAAAGTGTTACAATTGTCACAAACTTGGGCATTTTGCAAGATAATGTAATGTGAAATCGAAGGAAAATCAAGGTGATGAGGCTAAGGTAGCAAGAAAATATGTGGATGATGATAATACACTTCTGGTCATGATTACATAGGAGAATTATGGCATGGAAAAGCTATTGGATAACAGTAGTAGCAGCTGTCAGAAGCTGGGCAGCAGTGTCTACAGTGCAGAAAATTATGCAGAAACGCGTTCAGAGTGAAACGCAATGGTAACCGTTCGAGATAGAGCTCAAGGCAGTGATGCGTGGTGTGATACGGTGGCAGAACCGACTGTTAATACTTTTTTTACATTTGTGTTTGGAAATGTTGGAGTAAGCAAGAGTCTCCACCGACTTTTCTTTTATCCAACAAAGGAAAGGGTGAAAAGAACAGAAAAAGACCTTTTCGAGAAATTTCTGAGTAAGAGGGTAGATTATGGAAAGGGAATGTGTTAGCACCCTTTCCATCCGTAGTTTTCTACGGGCTCTTAGATGCTATCTCATGTTTTGAAAATTTCTTGTGCTTTGTGTGTTTGAAAATTTGTTTTGAAAATGCCTTAGTGCGGCGATTCGCTTTATGATAACTCTTGTATCATTCCTCAAGACTGTTGACAAAGCGAATGTTTTTGAAAGTTGTTTTTTTGAAATGTGTAAGTGTAAAAAGTTTTTTATTTTATTTTGAGAAAGCATCTAATAACTATCTACTTGTACTCGAAAAGGTAGTTCTTTTCCTCATATCCTTTAGACAGTGCTATCCTACTATTAGTTAGTAGGTAGCCCTATCGATGGATGTATGAGGGACATTCGAAGGGACATTACGGTCATGAAGGCAACTTGGTAAGGAATTTTAGTAACTGTCCTAAAGTTCTAAGATCACTTTTAATCGAGGCAACATCGAGAGGGTCATTGAGGGACTTGTAATCTTTCAAACTAGAGGACAACCACTAAAACTTCTCACATTTCGAGAATTGTAACCGTTTTCTGAAGGCAATCGAAGTGGGGTACTCTAGAGGTGTATATGTGCAATGTGTGTTATATTTAGTTTATTTATTTTTATCTTTTGTGTTAGGTTTGCTAATGCTTTGTTATTAGTCTTGTCATGCAATCCTAGTTACTAGCAGTTAATATATATACAGGAATTTAAAGTGCAGAAATATAAAGTGTGGGAATGTAAATCCTACGCTATTACATGGCTTTGTGAGATGTACATT